CTTGAGTCGCAAGGAGTTTGTAATCAACCTATAGTTGGCAGTAAGGTGTGGACTTTTGAGTCCAAACAAGTAAGTTGTCAGCCATCAGTGAATGAAATGCTGACATAACACCCCCTAGGGGTAATTTATAATCTTACAAATTATATTTCTTGACAGCCCGTTGTGAGATGGTTTCGACAGCTTCTACACCTCGTCTGCAGGGGCGGCTGTGTAGACGATTTGCTGTCTTTTATCAGCTAAGTGTTCACTATATTTATATTTATAAATATCTTAGCTGGTAAAGCCATTTCTCAACAATTGAGCATCCTCCGTCCCGGAGTTGTAATAGTTGGGATATTTACAGAGCACTTTTATAGTGTAAATCAACACTTGTACCCACTAAATCAAATCCCACAAACACCACATTCCACATACATACTAAAAATAAAGATAAAATTAATAAATAAAAGTTATGAACATGACTAACAGGCTCAACACAAATACTATTATACCAAGTTAAAATAAGGAGCTTCTCATAGAGTGATAGATTCCAGAGTCGTCATGAGGAATGAAGGGGTTGGAGAGCTTATGAAATTTGCTGTTAGACACAGAACAGTAAATTAACCAATCCATGGGTCGGATAGAGGCGACACAAGGTCAGGTTTGTCCATAGATGCGCCCGGATACTAACGGCCTGAAGAGACGTGTGCAGTGGCAAACGAATAAGACAGATACTAGACTTCACAGTGATGGTAACCCCTCCTCTCCCCTTCCTACTGCCATCCTTACCTGGAGGGATAGGGAGAACAATGAAAAAAAAAACACATCTGTCACTAAGACAAATTGGAAGCCCAAAGCTTCTCCTGTAAATGCATTTTTGAAGACCAATGATACCGAAACGATACTCAAGTCCTACAAATATTGGCAGACGCCCTCACAACTCCACTTGATGCAATCATGACGGTGGGTCAGCAGTAGACTCCAGAAGGGATCAATAAAATAGTTTCTTGGCACCGCATAATGGATAGTGCAGGTCAAGGCCTCCTTGTAACTACATACTTGTTTAGCAAAGCCGACGGCGGGGAGTGTGGTTAAAATATTTATTCTGTGCACCATATATTTGAGAGTACCCTCCCATTAATATACTCATGGGAGAGCAATAAGCCCGTAGAGTCAAAATGCGAGGGAATGTGGGAGTTGATCAGATTCGATTCGAGGATCATGAGAGGCAGACACCCATGTAATTTGTTGTTGCTTTTCACTTTTTGTATTATGCTTTGATATCGATTTGAAATATTTTAGTTGGCAAAACTGTGCTCCCAACTCTTTCTTTTTCAGATTATAACTCTTGTTAACTGTTTCACTTATTGGTAGATCACATTGATGGGGGAGAGACGGAGGGATGATTTCACAAACCTGTAGGGACTTGGAGGCGGGTTCAATCCAATGAAGAGAAGGAGCCGGTCATTATATTTATCACATTCACGGGGAGCGCTCAACCCGCAGGGGTGACACTGCGACTGGAGGAGCGGGAGGTATTCAGGCTCGATCAAAAGGAAGGAGAGAGCAGGTCCATGTCCTTGAATCAAGAGCCCATCTCCGTCGTCAAGGAGCCTCCCATATGAGCACTCTATGTTCTTCATTCAAATTTATTTACATCTTGGCTATAACTAAATCATTTCAAACCTTTTTTCACGTATGAAAATTGCTTTCTCTTGCAACAGCTTGACATTTAAGCCTACGAAGAAACAACACAGCCAACTCTTTCAATAGGCTCATTAAAAAAATAAGCTTAACAGAGTACTCTAAAACACATTGTATCACTAATGTGCATTATCAATACTTGGTAATGAAACTGATATATCTAACATAACGTATCTAACGTATCTAACATACTTTAAACGTATCTAACATACTTTAAACGAGGTCAGTGAAATGGATATTGGACTAAATTTATCGTTACAAATTAAAAACTACATATTTTTGTTTATATAATATTACAGCCGGATACGTTAGGCTAGGTAAGGTTTGTCAGAAAACAGGACAAGCGTTTCCTGACGCGGGTCTTAGTTATATGATGACCCGCTGCTGGAGCTTTTGGTCATCTGACCGAGGTCCCGCCAGCTTACCGGTCCACCCCTTTAAAAATTGTGTTTTTGATTATAACCATTTAATAAATACAAAATTACTTAGGAAGAAGGTAAATTTATTATTATTATTATAATAAAGGAGGAAGCGCCAAACCCGGAGGATTATACAGCGCCTGGGGGGGGGGGATGTGGAAGGCATTCAGGCTTAATTCGGGGAACTGGAGCACAGATCCAATTCCCTAAATCAAGAGCCCCTCGCCAACATCAAGGAACCTTCCTTGAGGGGAGGAAGAAGGTAAAGCTCACAGACACAAATGAAGGAAAAACTGTACATTTCCACTTTAAAGCGAAATCCTCTTCCGCTGACAAGAAATATATGTTTATGTAAGGGTCGGGTGACGTGTTGGAAGGGAAGTCATTTCATTGATTACAGCGCGTAGCTTAGTAACTTTAGGAGCGGTAAGACTGCGATGTGGTGGTACTAGGTGTCGCTTTCATTGGGTACTGCAGAATATTTCTGTAATACAAATTTGGATACGTCATGTTTCTATTTCCCTTCGGTGATTACGTAATATGGGAGGGTGTATCAACACTGCATCAGATGTTTTCCAGTTTGTTGGAATCTTCTACTATCAGGTTCGCTCCTCAGTTTATGGTACTGGTGCGAGCTTTTGTGCTGGAACACCGCTGAACAAAGACCACAATTTGCAGATTGTGCTCAGTTACCCACGATATTGCGACCTGTTTCACCAATAGTTTCCAAATCAGTTTTTTTTTTATACGAATCAGTTTTACAGGCTGCGACCCACAACTACTAACACCCAGGTACCTACTTACTGCTAGGTGAACAGGTGCAGTAGGTTCTACCCATGCCGGAGATCGAGCCACGGACTCTCAGTATGTGAGTACACTGTTAACCGAGCTACGTGACACTTTTCGCATGGGATTTGATTTGTATCATGTTTGCGTTGTACATATTTCTTTAAAATTTGGTTTTCGGGTTTGCTTGTGTGAAAACTTCTATGAAGCTTTTTTTTTTTTTTTGCTTTATCCTGGATATTTATCCTCCAACTTACGGTCTTTTGTTTTGGTCCCAGCTTATTTAAGTTTCAGTTAGTATTTAAACCCTAAATCCGTAAAGGAAATTATGAAACTTAACAAATCCTTGAAATAGGTGTCCTTCACCTGGGGTATTTTGAAGCTACTTAGTAAGGTAATTAAGGCAACTTCCAAGTTCCACAGAATAATTTTAAGTGGAAAAACAAGATCACAATAAATGACACTTTTCTTCAGGTCCTGGTAATAAAAGCCAACTTATCTTTGGACTTCGCCATTTACAGAAAACCAACGAACACAGCCAACAATGAACAATATTTCGTTCACCATACTACATAACTATAAATTTTGCAGTGTATCCAGACTGTTTCTAAGGTCCTTGAGAACTTGCAGCTATGAATGTTGAATCAAAAACTGTAAACCATAAAGTAGCTGATCCCTTAACTAGGATATGCAAATTGCTCACTCAGTCGGACTCAGTCTAACAAGTTATTAAAAAAAAAATCCAATAATCAAATTAGTGGCATCACTTTTAAAAACTCGCAAATTATTTTATCTTATCCCAACAAAGTTGGAAAGTGTGTTTAATAAAACCTAAAAAAAAAAAAAATATCCAGCTATAACAGGCACAATCCCAAGGCAGACAGCTGAGATTTGATACACAGTTGAGAGATGTAATTTACTAACACGGATAACAAAATTTATCTGCAAGATATGACCAAGAGTTTTGCGGTGTTCCCAAAAAAAAAATTGCACCTGTACCATAGACTGAGAATAAGTCGAGTACAAAAAGTTTAAGATTCCACGCAACTAAAGCAATGTTGACAAACTACCACAAATTACATCTTCAGAGAAAAACCTAAACCTGACAGATTCCAAATCTGCACAAATTTTATCACCAAGGTTAGAGAGAACTTATTACCGGTATATCGTGGGTGGGTCATCTTTAAGTCACTCCACTACGTCCTCTAATTAAAGAGACAATGCAAGCCTGACATGTTGCTTGACCTTTACAGAAACTTCAAATTCGTTCTTGACATCTGCTGATGTCAGTGGGAGGCCCAATATTTAATTTTTAACAGGTTTCCGTGTTTCTGTCTACAAATGGATTTTACCATCGTACTGAGAAGTGTTCATGACAATTTGATACTTCTACACTTCCTCGATGTTGTAAAATACTTAAATTTTGTATATGGAAAAGCAACACTAGCTGGATTTAAAGTTCATAAATAAAAAGTTGCTAATACATGAATTTTTATAAATTCGATACAGTAAACAAAAAATTATATTCAGAACCTAGATCTCTATATAGTACATTTTTTTTTATTCATCGGTCGTTTCCCGCCAATCAGCCCAATTCAAATAACTCTCCGATCATCATCATCCCCGCACGTTCATCCTTCAGAGGTGCCCGTACTATACTTGCCCCCACCTGAGCTCCAATATGCGTACGTAACTTCCCTGAATCCATTTACTGATGTTAAATCCTGCCCCCGCCCCACCCCCCCAAAGAAAGTTTTCTCTACTCCGAGTGAAAACAATACATACTTGCTGAATGCTTCAGCCTCGATCACGCTAAACCTTCTTTTCCACCCTCTCACTCCATCCTCTGTCTTCAACACAGCCAGATTTATACACCATTTTCGTCAATCCAGTAATGTTCCATCCTTTTTAAATGACCAGACTATCTCAGCTCCCTTCCGATTTCATTTCTGAACTTCTTGTCAACTACATCGTCAAATTTCAGTTTAATATTCAAACCACCCAAACCCCAGGGAGGGAGGGACCATTCTCCCAAGTTTCCAGGGAGGGAGGGAGGGTGGGACCCTATCCCCAACTTTCAAGGGATGGAGGGGAGGGACCCTATCCCCAAGTTTCAAGGGAAGGAGGGAGAGAGGGAGAGACTCTTTCCCCAACTTTCGATAGGAACCTCTTTCCCAAAACCAAGGGAATAAACTCTTCCCAAATCCCCCGGGGAAAGATCCTTTCCCCAATACCCCAAAGGCCCAAACTTCAATGGGCAAAATTAGAGGTGGCTACCGCCGTAACAAATGGGAGCATCTAAAGACTGCTCAAGTGTAACTCCTGTGAGAGAAAAGAATTGGGAGTTACCTGTCAGGAACTAGTGCTGTTGTAGCTCACCTTGTAACAAAAGAACATACCTGGGCGTCTCGGTCCTCGATGAGGTCTGAAATCCACTTACCTGCAAATTTAATTTTATTTAATAGCACCCCAAACTACTCTAAATAGCACTAACCTATATTAAATATTTATAGAGAGAAAAAAAAAAGCGCCCTGTATTGGCCATTCAAGGCGCGATGAGAGAAAAAAATGTCTTATCCTTTAATATACTGTATAGCAACGTGGAAACAATTGGCAAGTCAGTAGAAACTGAGAAAGGAAGTTTCTATGCAGCTTCTCTATATTCAAGTAACTTACGGTCCCTATGATAAATTTAACATTATTTCTTTAACATTTGACAGCTGAGTGACGCTGCCGTTTCTCTCTTACCGTGTGGCGAAGTATGAAGACACCGAGGTGTCTCGCTGGTGGCTGCCATCCGTGTTCCCTCAGGCTGGTGGCTGCCACCCGTGTTCCCTCAGGCTGGTGGCTGCCACCCGTGTTCCCTCAGGCTGGTGGCTGCCACCCGTGTTCCCTCAGGCTGGTGGCTGTCACCCGTGTTCCCTCAGGCTGGTGGCTGCCATCCGTGTTCCCTCAGGCTGGTGGCTGCCATCCCAGGCTAGGGACCCACCAATAAATATCCGCCCTGCAAAAGAAAAAAAAATAGTTCTTAAATGCGCTTATTTAATAATTCTGGAATTTAAAACTACGCAACCAAAACCCAGCGTTATATTAGGTGGTCCAACAAACGAAAATCAGTTTAAGCTGATTGTGAAATATTCACCCCAACCGTCACATAGTAAAATGGAAGGTGGGAAGCGTTCGTCTTAAAAGATATCCTCATGGAGGAGAGGGATTTTGAATATCTTACAAACAGACGAGACTATCACTACATTCACGGGGGAAGAGGCGGGCGCCAAACCTGCAGGGAGGGGGGTTACTCAGAGCCAGGGGGGAGTGGGAGGTTAGTTCTTATTCCTTGAATCAAGAGCCCCTCAACGGCATTTAGGAACCTGTCTAGAGGGGGGGAGGGAAACAGAAGAGAACCGTAACCTTTTAAGTTTAATTATTGCTTGAGACTTAATTCCCTCATCCGCTGTTATAAGAATTTCGTGTTTAATTATTTCGACGCCTCAGAGCTATTTAAATTTGGACATTTGAAATTTTTCCAGATTTTTTTGCCAAATTTGTCGTGAACTTACCTTTAAAAGACGTTTTAGATAATTTAGCTTCCAATTACACACACATGTACATTTTTCCTCTCAAGTTTGTGTCGCCCAAGGTGTGTCCTGATGCTAGTCAAGCTCTTGGCCCACAAACTTGGAACTACCTTTCCCTTCCTTGGAACAAAATTATTTCGTTCCATTCCACTGGCGCTATGATCCCTTATTGGTTAACTTTTTCCCGATATAAGACATGATCGACGTCTATATCTTCAGAGATGACAAATTACAATGTTAATTACATATAATTATGACAAATTGCATAAAATATTCCATACGCGAGTCAATAATGGCACCAACAGAGCGACACACTACAGTAATACAATGGCACCAGCAGACAGTGACACACTAGCACCAACAGATTATAATACATTGGCACCAGCAGACAGTGACGCACCGGCACCAGCAGAGTGACGCACTAGTGCCAGCGCGCGCGCACACGCTACCAATCTGGCACAAGTGAGCACTGACACAAGGTACCAGTGGACACAGACTAATATCATAATGGTACCTGTGGAAGTACCAGTACAATATCACCAGTACTCACACTACAACACTAGTACACAGTACCTAGTAGCGATCAGTGAAGAGGCGGGGCCAGGAGCTGAGTCTCGACCTCTGCAACCACAATTAGGTGAGTACACATACAGGAACCCAGGCTTCCCATCTAGGGTATTCACTTTTTTTTATTCACGGGGAAGCGCTAGACCTGTAGGGCTTTTATAGTACCTGGTGGAATAGGAGGCATTCAGGTTCGATCCAAGGAAGGGGAGGTTATATCTAGTTCCTTGGATTAAGAGTATCTCACCGGTGTTTGGGTCCAGTGTGTCTGTCGGGACAGCCATGACACAACTAAACACGGAGGAAAACCTTAATTTATCTCTAAAAAAAAAAAATAATTCTACCAAGCCTTTTCCTTAAAGCTTCCCTCATTTACTTTAACACCGTTAAAAAAAATGCTTACCTTTCGTATTTAATCAATATTTTCCAGCGAAATATTCCACTTTCCCTCCACAGTACTAAACAGTCTAGTGACAATGCCTATATGGCGCGCGCGGGCGAGTGTTCACCGCTAGGAAGACTAACTTGTTCGATTTTTTTTTTTCACTTGACTTCGTTATCTCCTGCCGCTTCTGTTTCTAAGCTGTGACAGTCTTTTAGATGCTGAATTTTTCCTTCCTACATATTACGTTTCATAAATCGTGTTTTCGGTTTGATATATGAAAAATATAGTGAAAATCTGATACAGTATTAAGAAATAGATATAGCTAATGGGAACAGGTGATCTATCTGGCCAAAACCCTCCTGATTGTTATAGCAGACGCTCATCTAATGGTTATAATTATTACCATAATTTTTAAAGGGGTGAACTGGTAAGCCAACGGAAGGCCTCGGTCAGATGACCCCTAGCTCCAGCTAGGGGTCATTATATGCTTAAGACCTGTGTCAGGAAACACTTGTAAGGTTTAATAACAAGCCTTACCTAACCTAACCTGTTACAGCACTGACAGTGACGCCAGGTAGTTTCTCTAAGGATTGTGATTGGTTAGATCTGGCGTGACACGTGATTTGTCCAAATATAAGTTTCTTCGGAATTAAAAGGGTGATATGACTCACTCAATGTATATATGCTAAGAATTTACTTTAATCTTTATTTAAGGGATTAAATTATTCTTGACTGCTGATGAGCAAGTGACATGCAGCCTTAATGACTCTCGTGAAGTCGATAGACTTTAACACTAATAAATAAACCAAACAAAACGTGTATCTCGGTTTATATAGACAAAATTTACTTCAGTTATAGTTTTAAGGATTAAAACGTATTTGAAGTTAATTTTCCGGTGAACTGCAAACACAAAATGTATATACAGAGTGCGCACACGAGGACGTATTATGTTTTTTTTGTTTCAGGCAGAGTCGGTTAAACAATCTGAACTTCCATAAAAACACGAGTACGTCTTTTCGAAAATTTTCTCTTGTGCACTGACAAGCATTTTTGTTTTATGTGAATAACAGTGTACAGTTATTTCAAGATCATATTTATTTTCCTGGAAGTCACTGTGTCGATGAATTTGCACTTTTCTTGTTTGGAAAAACAAATGTTGCTTTATGAGTCAAGATCAAAAGTCCTGGCTGCATCCTGCATGACGTGTACACTGAGAGATGTGTATCTCTCAGTGTATAGACACTGAAATTTTATTTTCATTCTCATCTAAGGGATTTAAAGTTTTAAGTTTTCTTGATATTTGTGTTTAGGTTGTTTTTAAATGAGTTTCCGTGAAGTCAATAGGCTTTAAACCTAACTCACACTATGAGCCACTGTAGAATGTGGCTCATAGTGTGTGAATTTGGGTTAGTGAAGAGACTCCACGCATTCCAAACTGCTACATTAGTCACGGAGTTCTGTCTAGGTCATCACCCAACACCGGAAGGAAGATGAAACTGAATATAGAGAGGATTTTCACTGCACGTATATGCTCAGAAAAGCACATTACTGGGAACGTTTGAAGTTCCTTGACCTGTAGTCGTTGGAGTGCAGGCGAAAAAGGTACATCATAATTTACACCTGGTAAATCATAGAGGGACTGGGCCCAAATCTTCGCACAAAAATCACTCCCTATGAAAACAAAAAACACGACAGGCGGTGCAGCATCACCCAGAAAGGCATGGGTACCGTGAGTACACTGAGAGAAAACACAACAGGTGTTAGGGGCCCAAGGCTGTTCAACAGTCTCCCTTCATATATTAGGGGGATTATTTATAGATCCCTATACGTCTTAAGAAGGAAACTGGACAGTCCTGACCAGCCGGGCTGTGCTTCGAACGTTGGATTGAGTGTGGCCAGCAGTAACAGCCTGGTTGACCAGGCTCTGATCCAACTTGAGGTCTGGCCATAGACCGGGCCGCGGAGTCGTTGGTTCCCAGAAACCACTCCTTTCTTCACTGTAAACCCTAGTGCGGGACTGCCCATTAAACTTTACCTCTCATACTAATAAATCTTACAACGTGCACTTCACGTTCCCTTAACGCTTGACCTGATATGCATGCTTACATGCTACAACATCTACACCCAACATTGCTTGTCTCCCTCTTACATGTTTTCAACAGGGCATGAGCCAAAGGTGCTTTGCCCTTAAAGCGGAAAACTGCACTGGTCTTACCTTTCCCTAAAACAACGTACTTCGGGACAAGATTATTTCCATTATAGACCCATAGCCTTACCATTATTCTTTGTAAATTGTTAGAGCCCTTAGTCAATAAGAGCCTCGTTTGGTACTCAGAGACCCTAAACTGTATCTCCCCTCGTCGATTTGTTTTTAGAAAGGGTTCGTTCTATCATCGACCTCCCTTCTCCGACTTGATGCATACATTCGAAACGCCTTCTTGAATAAACATTCAGTATTTCTGTCATTTTTTATCTAATAAAAAGAGCTTTAGACTCTGCTTGGCCCTGCAAAGTTTCATTCCAAGCCCATTCCTCAGGCATCCTGGGCAGACTACCTCTCTACCTTAAACATTTTCTATAAGAGAAGCACTTCTGGCTTCAAATGAATAGTAGTATTTCCTTAATTTTCTGTAATGCTGCTACCTTCGCTACTACTTTATTCCCGACAGCCATTAATGTACTTGCCTTGTTCTTCCCGTAAGTATCAGATCATTTTTATGTGCAGATTATTTAGAAATTAACTGTGCCAGCCCGGTCTCTTGACTTCTAGAGACTACTCTGCAACACTCTACAGATCTAGGTGCCAGTTCCGCTACTTCACATGGTTTAAAGTTTTCTATTGCTAAAACAAACTCGATAACGTTTTCATGATGCCCTCTCACCACACAGCCTAGTTTACACCTGTATAGCTCCCCTATCCTACTATTTGCGACCGTTAAATTTCTATCCCATGTCTTTAACTGTCGCGTGTCATGGCAAACCAACATCATTTCATCATCACTCGTTTTACCTGGGAGTTAATTGGCAAACTCTTTTAATTCTTTAAGGAACTGTAATTCTGCTTTAGCTAAACCACGGGGACCACATATTTTGGTAGAATTGCCGAGCTTTGTTAAGACGTAACGGCTTGACAAAGCTCCTGGAAAGCGTAACGTTGCCACAGTAAAATGTTACATTAGTTGCATCTATGTTCTTTTACTAAAACAACATATTTAACTCAGCCTCCCATCCATTTTTAAGAAACTCACTGAAATTCATAATCAAAAGTTTCGTTTATGTTTTAGGGCCCTTTCGATCTTTCCCGGTCGAAAGTTTGTATTTAGTAGTATCGCACGCAATGCGCAGTACCTGTTTTTTTTTATTATTTTACTATTCGCTCCCACATTCTTCACAATCCTCATATGCACGGAATAATCACAGATGTTAGATAAATTTATTTAATAGCAGCCCAAATTGTTGCGGCTTATTGTTTCCGGGTTCGAACTTTGGCAGTATCTCTTACGCTGACCTCTTTTTCTCTTTATGTTCACCACTTATTGTACTCGTCATACCCTCCTTGGGAAGGTCCGGCGATTCACATTTGTTTCTCTTACGAAGGCTAACATTCTTGCTAAAAACTCACGCTCACTCTTCTTTGATCACTTTCAGTCGCAGTCTCATGTTCTCATATTAATATGGCTCACAAAGGTTTAAGGACTCATATGCCATGAGTTTGAATTCCACCCGTTCCGTGATTTCTCATATTAATGGTATACATACAGGCATGTTGATAAATAAGACACATGTGCAACACTTAAATATCTATATAGCCGAAACGTTTCGCATAAGTCGAATACAGTAGAAACAGTTGGAGAAGTGGATAGATCTCCCAAAACTACCTCTCCATTCTTACTGTCTCAAGTGTTATATTCATTCGATCGAGGAAGCTTGCTGTGCAGGCGAAACGTTTCGGCAATATAGATACCTGAGTGATGCGCATCAACTCCATCCTCAGATGGAGTAGAGTACGCAGATGTCTGCCATTATTTTCACAGAAGAGTTATATGTCACAATAGTTGCTGTCAGACACACTGCAACCATGTCCACCTCCTCATTCGTTGTTGCTTCAGATTCTCCTGAAAAATGACTCACATCCCATCCTACTACTTAGACAACAATGGTTATGTCGAACTTCTGGGAAGCATGAAGAAATGTTTTTTTCTTCTTTTTGCGTCTCTGGACGCATTGACGATCAAAGTATTGAGGAGGCAGACTCAGTCGCCGGTCACATCTTCCAGTATCCCACAGGAGAGTTTCTTCCATTTTTTATGACTATTTTCCAGTAGTTTCAAAGATTCTGAAACCGCTGGCCATGGCGTTGCCGCATAACTTTAACAGTTAACCATATATCATTAAACTATCTATCAGAAAGAACGCAGAATTCCCTTTCGACATCTTCAACGCCCTGACAGCTCTCATTTTAACTGCCCTCCTCACCGAAAGTCCCACCTTTGACTTTTAAGAGAAACTAAGATACTGTTTCAACTATGATATTAATTTTAAACGTTCCTTAACTCTCAACTTCACTAATCCTAATTAATTAATTAATTAATTAATAATAATAATCATAATAATAATAATAATGTCACACATCCGATAGCTTGAACGGTGCAAACACATCTCCTTGGAACAGGAGTCATATGTCGTGTACAGGTGTGTGACTGTAAACTTATTTTATTAAAAGCGTTGTGAGTATGAGATACATAATGAATACAATTAACCTACAAGGGAAATATATGCTTTTATGCTGACGAATGGCTTCCGATCCAAAAATTTGTAGCTATCTTACCCCTTCACAGCTCAAGCTTAAATAACCTCTTACCCTTTCCCTCCCATCACCCACGAATACTATCTACTTTGAAAAGACATTACTCGTTTTCTAGAGTTTTATTTTTGATAACTAATATTGTAGTTTTCGTCAACGAATAAAAGGCCAATAAAACGTGAGGAAAACATTAGTCTCTATTCAGTGAAATAAAATATACAAACACATTTAAAATAAAGTACTGGTCGTGAGTGTTCGTAAAGTGGAGCTGCGAGTGAGCAGGTCAGTGTATTGGTTAACCTGCCCCTGTGTGTTCCGTAGCGTGGAGCTGCGAGTTAGCAGGTCAGTGTACTAGCTCACCTACCCTCGTGTGTTCCGTAGCGTTGAGTTGCGAGTAGGCAAGTCACTGTACTAGCTAGCATGTGTTCCATAGCACGGAACTGAGTTCCGTGAACTAGCACACTCGTTTACCATAGTACGGAGTAGTGAGTGGGCAGGTCAGTGTACCAGCCAACCTGCCCTCCTGTGAAATATTGTCGTTCTGGTCATGTTATATTACTTATGTACAACACGGTAATGGATTAACTTACACATGCACCATGTTATATTTATGTACGGATGTATATTACTTGTGTGTGTGTGTGTGTGTGTGTGTGTGTGTGTGTGTGTGTGTGTGTGTGTGTGTGTGTG